GCCATCACAGCAGCGCTGCTGGCCTACTACACCTCGGCGCAGGTAGACGCGCTGTTGGGAGACTACCGCACGGCAAGCGCGCAGGACACGCAGACGCAGGCCGCCATCGCGGGCGCGCTGCTGGCCTACCGGACGGGCCCGGACCAGGACGTCTTCACAACCAACCAAATCGCCTCAGCGCTGGTGGCGTACCGCTCAGCCGCAGACCAGGACACGGCGACGGCCTCGAGCATCGCCGCCGCGCTGCTCAGCTACTACACCATCGCGCAAGTAGACGGCCTCCTCGCCGGCAAGCTCGGAGTCGCGGAGGCAGCCTCGGCGCTGCAGATAGCAGTGCGCTTTCCGGACGACGGCGGGGCCGACGAGGTGGTGGCCGCCATAGGAGAGCAGATCCTGGCCCCCACGGACGACTCGCTGTCAAACTGGACGGTTCGCCCCAGCAGCGGCTGCAGCGTGGTCTTGGCCACGCACACCGCGGGCGCAGTGAGCGTGGACGGCTACACCCTGACCCTGGCGGTGAACCCGTGGAACATCGTGCGCACCTACAACTTGACCCCGGGCCGAGAGCTCCTCTTCGCCTGCCGCTACCGGCTTGGCACGGCCTCCAACTTCGTGGTGTACATGTCGCTGACGGCCTCGGGCGCAGCAACCGCGGCGAGCTTCGCAGCCACCGGCGCGCTCACGGGCGCCACGCTGACGATCACCGGGGCGGCCTCCACGGGCCCGCTGGACTGCGAGAGCCTGGACTGCACCTTCACGGCCACGAGCGGTGGAGTGTCGACGGGCAGCGTGGTGTGCGGCGACGTGACGAGCTCGGGCACGGTCTCCGCGCCGCAGCTCTTCGCGTCCAACACGCTCACCGTGACCAACACCTCCGACTACTCGGACGATCTCTTCCTGACGAAGAACTGGGCGGGCTGGAGCAAGCTGCAAGTGTCCAACAACAGCGCGGCCTCCGACAGCGGCCCGGAGCTGCGGCTGCTGGGCAGAGCGCCAGGGTCTTCCTGGAGCGGGGCGGCGGGACGCACCAGTGCGAGCTCATCATGATCAACGATGAGGCGCTGGTGCAGACGAAGAGCCTCTCGACGCAGCTGTCCTTGACCACGAACCAGAGGAACCCCGGCTGCCACGTGATCGCGGGCAACACGGGCAACGTGGTCTGCAACACGAGCTTCACGAATTTGTCGGACAGCAGGGTGAAGACGGAGATGGCCGAGGCCGACGTGGCAGAGCTCCAGCAGCTCTTCGACTCCGTGGAGGCCAAGCAGTACAAGCGCCCGGACATGAACGAGGACCTGAGGCTGGGCTTCGCCTCAAACGACTTCGCAGGAACGAAGTGGAAGAACCTGACGGGCACCGCCCGGTGGAGCGACGGCACGGAGATGGTCACGCTCGACTACTCGCACCTCACCAGCGTGCTCTGGGGGGTGTGCAAGGGCTTCCAGGCCCGGCTGGACAAGCTGGAAGAACAAGTAAAAAATGGACGTCCTGGCCGACGACTTCAATGTGCGGGACCCCCGCAAGCTGTACCGCCTTGCGCGGCAGCGGAACATGGACGTCACGCAGCCTGAAGACCGACGTGGGCCGGCAGGACGCCCAGGGCCCTCGGCAAGTCCGCCGCGGCGGAGGGGCCCGATCGACTTCAGCCAGAACACCAAGGGGAAGACCAGGTACGGCCTCGTGGTCATGGACGTCTTCACCAGGGAGGCGGCCGTGGAGTCGCTGCAGAGAAGAGCGCCGCAAGCGGGCCACCCGGGAGCTGGTGGGCGAGGAGCGCAACTTCGTGGTCACCACGGACCTGGGCAACGAGCTCGCCTCCCTGGACCGGGAGCTGCCCGAGGAGGCCGTGCGGCCCGAGGACCGCAACGCCACGGCCGTGATCGACCGGGGCATCCAGACCCTGAAGAAGGACCTGGCCACGCGAGTGGCCCGCAAGACTTCGAGCAGGCCGCCGGGGCCTACAACGCCCGGCCGCGCGAGACGGTCTACGGGGCCCCAGCGGACGTGGAGCGGCAGCCGGCCACCGAGTTCCGGCTGCTGCAAGACAACGCGGACAAGTTCCAGCACAACAAGGATCTGACCGACCGCCGTAGAGCCCTGCTGAAAATGCTGGCCCCCTGCCATCCCCCCCCCCCGGCCCCACACCCCCCCCCCACGCCAGCGCCTCCAGGGTAGGAGCGGCAAACGCCGGGCAGGCTGACGAGGCGCGGCCGGCCCGCTGCGGCAAGGCAGCTGGAAGACTTCTTGGGGCAGCCCAGGAGGCCGGGCCAGCACAAGGCAAAAAAACATGTCTTAGCATATTGATGGGCTTTGGGGCCAAATCGCATGTAGCCAATTCCACATTTTCATGCGTTTGATTCGTCACTCACCGGCTGCCCTCAAAATGCAAGCATTGAGAAAAGGAAACAAAAGGTCTCAACAGCCCCCTAAATCGTTCCATGGCCTTCCTCGGTTCCCCAATCTGCTCGTTCTGCACCCAGAAACTTTTTTCCTCATGCTCCGCAATTCTTTGAGCCCCGAGATCCAATTCTAGGCCAGGAAATGGCACAGCAGCAACAATTCAGCCTTCAAGGTTTGGCCGCCCTGGTTTGATAGAAGGCTCTACCAGCGTAGAAGCCAAAGTACTCCTGGTACTGCGCTTCAGATACGAAGATCAAGCGCTGTCTGCCGGTTTGTGGCACAGTCTCTGTCCTTGTCAGCAAAAGCACCAGGATGTCAGCTGTGTCGCATGCTTTGTCACGCTCGTTCTTTACTATGAATGGAGAATTGCCCTTCTTGCATTGCAAACATTCAGAGATCGTGCGATTGTTGCCCTTTGCCCTCACCTCTTCCAACATGAGAAAGGCATCAGCAGCTGGAGCTCCGGCAGCATTCACGACCAAAACACGTTTGCCAGTCAACGTCACTGTAAGGATTTGGTTTGTCATTTCAACTACGCACTGGTGCATTCCCAGTCCCTTAAGTAAATTTGTCCGAGCTTTGGGATTGCCGCAGCGTGAGGACCTCGACAACAATTGCTTCCTGGATTTGGCAAATTGCAGATGCCGGTTGATGACCTTGGTGCTTTTCAAGCTGTCAGGCTGGATCACTGCACCCCTGTGTAGATCGGCAATGTCAACTAGTTGTCCATCCTCAAACGCAGAAGCTCGCAACACTCGAAACCTGGCATTGAATTCTTCCCACTGTTGCCAGGTTGGTTCTGACTCAAACAAGCGGTAGTCCATCAAGTTCCACGGTTGCAAATCGTCAGAGAACTTAGACAAACTCAGCATCAAGTACAACCAAATGTAGGGCAAGTCGATGCGGTACTGCGAGGAGTCGCCGTCCTTGAACTTGACGCGGATAAGCTCCACCTTCTCAGGATCTAGATTGCCGACCATTTCGCCAGACAAAATCCATCTGCCTGACAGAGCTGCGCGAAGCAGTTCCTTGAGGTCTGCACCCGGCTCCATCTGAGTGGCGTCAGGATACTTCTGCCTCAATTGTCTCATAACTGCACCCACCAAGGCAGTTGCTGCAGCGTTGGGCATCTCCATCAAGGCCTCTAGAAGGCACTCCAAAGCTCTGCCATGCCCGCCCATGTCTTCGACCAGGAGGTCTTTTAGGCGGTGGCCGGGCAGCACCGGCTGTTTGTTGCGGGTTACGGCGGTCACGCGTGGCAGCTCCAGAAAAACTCGGGCCTGGGGACTGCCAGCAAGTCCACTCTTCACATTTTGCAAAGCGGCCACACAAGCTACGACAAAGGGGCCTTCCACTTGGTTGACAAGGCGGCAGACCTCCTGCATCACCTGATAGAATGGCAGGTCCTTGCCCGCAGCATCACTGCGCTCGGTAAATCCAGGCAGACCTTGCATCCCGTCGACTCCGATCACCACCGTGCTATGATTGAGCTCATCACGCAGCACAGACCTAAGCACAGGCGAGGGTGTGAGGTCGGCAGGGCATTGGATGCGGAATTCGGCGAAGTCTGTTGGAGCGCCGACCTCCCGAAAAGCCTCTTTGTTTGCATTCCGCAGCTGCCACAGCATGCGGCATGCCACAAAGCGTCGGGCATTGAGCTCCTCCGTGGCCCAGTCCCCGGGAGAGAGGCCGTTCTCGCAGCTGATCATGAAGCTCCTCGTTTGCTTGCTGAATTTCAGTTTCTGCCTTTCAGACACATTCTGCAAGCACTGCTCGACCAGGCCCGGGAACTCTGTCAGCAACCGGGACTTGCCTTGCCCTGGGCCTGCAAATGCGATGAACAAAGGATGAAGCTGTTTGTCACTGTTCTTCCCCTTTTGCTCGTGCAGCGTCTGGATGGGGATCTGCATGCTTTCACGGAGCACCTCCTTCCCACAATAGTCCCATGTGGCCCCAACTGTTGCAAGCAGTTGGTCGGCTGCTCCAAACTACAACTTCTTCGCGAGCAACTTCTCGCACCAACTGCTCCGTGCCTGTCTCCAAAATCGGGCGCGGAGGAGTGTAAGGACATCAGCAATTGTTGGATTTATCGAGTCGGGTGGCTCCGCCTCAGCAAAAGAATTTCAAATCAGGCAGATATGAGCAGGTACATCTAAAATTGAACAATAGAAGGGGATGGAATGGCAGCACAACGGGCCAAACCATCGAACAGGAACTCTGCCCGTGGATGCAAAGCCGGGAATGTATGGTTGAACTCACTGCATCAAAGAGAACATTCACAGAATGCACTTGGGCCTTCAGCAGCCAGGACCCCAATGGGTGCAGAGACATAAAGACATCAGAGTTTGCCCTCCCTCTCCCCGACGGCAGAAGGGCAGGTCTTGCTCTTTGAAAAGCAAGCTGAAGGCAATGACAAAATCACTCACAAGGATCAACGGCACGTCTCAATCAATGTTGACCGGCAGGAATGACCGACCTCCAACAAGGAATGGCAACCATCCGTTCATGGGGGGCTCCATACCGAGCCTACCAAGGACACGAACCGCCGCAATCTGCAAAAATGCTATCTTGGGATTTCCTGGTTCTCTGGATGCGATCAGGGCTGCCCCACCAAAACCATGTGCGGGCCGCGCGGGGAATTTCAGAACCGCACGCAACGATCAGAGTCACAGAACGCAGCCGGCCGGCGGAAGCGACCGACTCCGCCCGCCTCGGACTCCTTCGTCCGGCCGCTTGCCTTCGCCTCCTTGACCTCCGCCTCCTGGACCTTCCTCTCCGCCTCCTGGACCTTCCTCTCCGCCTCCTGAACCTTCCTCTCCGCCTCCTGAACCTCCTTCTTCGCCTCCTGAATCTCCTTCTTCGCCTCCTGAACCTTCCTCTCCGCCTCCTGAACCTTCCTCTCCGCCTCCTGCACCTTTGTCGCATTGCCCGAGTCCTCCGCCGTCTCCAAGACGGTGGCAGCTCGAGCGAGACGCCTCACCGCCATCGCTTCCTGCTCCTGGGCGCTCTCAACCTGCCGCTGGGCGCTCTCAACCTGCCGCTGAGCGCTTTCAACCTGCCGCTGGGCAGTCTCAACCTGCCGCTGGGCGCTCGCTTGCTGCTGTCGCGCCAGGAGCAGGTCCTGCCCAGCAAGACTCACACGCCGAGCAGCAGTGCGCTCGGACGGACGGCCTCTTCCAAGGCCTTTAGGGCTGCCTCGACAAACATGCAGCACACAGAATGTCACGAAAGCGCTTGTGAATCTGACCTGTTGGTAAACAAGCAAACACTCCTGCCTCTGCCACAAACTTCTTTAGCTGCTGCTTTAACTCAGGCTTAGTCGCCAAATCATTCCACTTCCCTGGATCTGTCAGCTGCACTTTTCCTGAGCTCAAAATTTCACAACGCCTGCTGCAACCAATGTGCTGCTAAAGCGGCGCATGACCACTTGCATGTCTTTCAGCGTGCCGTTGTCCACAACCCGTTTGGCTTCTGCGACCACCTGAGCGAGACAAGGCTGGGACGTCGCTTTCTCTGAAGGCCCGCCTCCTCGAGATCGAGCCGGTCCTGACAACCAACAAGCCCAACGTTCAAACCCGATGCACGTGTCCCCCAGGCCTGGCCACTGTTGTCCTGGCGGCAACCGGCAAAAGATGCGAACTGGCTTCGGGTCGGAGGAGTCCTCTTGCGCAGCCCCGGCGCGCCGAGCGACTCCGGCATGCAACGGGTGCCGTTTTGCCACCTGAAAGAGCCAAAGTGCAATCTGCTTGCGCCTGCGGGCAACTCTGAGATCTGGGCCGATATGCTGTCCTGGCACTCAGCACGAAACAAGAACATGCAAAGGAGGGACTTCATGCTCCTTCAGCCCAGGAACTCCTCGAGCAAAGTCCTGGGCGGCGGCGACAAGGGACTCCTGAAACCCGAAAACCTTCGAAAAAATGTGTCCCAAGACCCAGGCCGTGCTCGGCTGCACGAGCAGCGCCAATGCAATCCCGAGAAGGCAGAGGCACATACCTGGCCGCTGCCTACCGCGGGCACGGTAGCGTCACAAGCTTGCCAGCCTCGGCTTTTGGTCCTGGTCCGCATCATCGCCATGGCTATTCGAAAAGCGCTTGAGCGGCCTGCGATTCCTCAAGCGCTGGCACTAGACCCATCGGGCAACCATTGCGAGCTGTTGTTGTGTCAGTGTTGATGAGTACACTCGAGCCAAGCTTCCAGAGCAAACACAAGATTGACTGGCTTCTTTGGCAACACCAACGCTCGGGTTTGGATGCTCCTCCTCCTTTTCACTCGCGGCCTGAAGGTCGGTCGGGCCAAGCCTTGCAAGGCTTCGCAGCGTCCATCCGTCAGACTGGCTGACCCACATCCTGCCGCTGCATCAAAGTCCAAGCGAGATACCCAACTGGCCTGCCTGCAAAACAAGCAGCCGAAATCGGCACCGGGCCGCCAGGGGCTGAAGGGCGGGGGTTTCTGGGGTCCCTGGTCCCTGGGATCACTGGGGCCTCTGGGGCCCTAGGGTCCCTACATTCCCTAGGGTCCCTAAGGTCCCTAAGGTCCCTAGGGTCCCTAGAGTCCCTGGGGTCCCTGCACACGTGTGCATCAGACGTCTCGCCAAGGCCCCAGAGTGCGCTCATCCCTGTCAACGCACGGCGGGTTCAGGGACCTTGGGGACCTTAGGGACCTTAGGGACCTTAGGGACCTTAGGGACCTTAGGGACCCTAGCAACCCTGCAAACCCTACCCTAGGGACCCTAGGGACTCCGAGGACTTCAGGGACCCAGCGACCCAGGGACTTCAAGAGATCCTTGGTGGCCCCAAGGATTTTGGGGCTTGAAGGGATCTTGGCAAGAACTTCACGCCGGGTACCACTCAGCCTGGGCATTCTCCAGCATCATAGGGTCATGCAAAAACACAAAATGCCGAAGCCAAGACACACACACACACACACATCGCAAATGGGCCACAACACCACAACATCATCTCCCGACTACAAACACGGATGTAGAAAACACCATGTAGAGACATACCAACATAAAGGCACAAAGACATAAAGATATAAAGATATAAAGAGAAAGGTATAAAGATACAAAGATATAAAGATATGAATTTGTAGAAATACAAAGATATAAATGTATGAAAATTCATAAAGAGATACAAATACGTAGAGATATGAAGATATAAATGTATGAAAATAAATATGAGTACACGAAGATAAATAGATGTATGGCAAGTTGCTCGAATGGAAAAACAACAGAAGCTTTGCCCTTCCGCGCGTCTTTGTGTCCCCTTGCGTGGCAAGCTGCAACCAACCGAAGCTTGAGAGATGACTTCACACTTCACAGGATCTCTTGCCCCCAAGACCCAGAGTTGCTGGGGTCCCTAAGGTTTTTGGGGTCCCTAAGGTCCCTGGGGTCCCCAAGGTCCCTTAGGGTCCGTAAGGTCCCTAGGGTCAAAACGCCGTGTGTTGACAAGGATGGATGCACTTTGGGACTGGCCAGACGTCTTGATGGAAGGACGTTGTTTCATGGCACCTGCAGCGGACGCCCGCGTGCCCCAGGGACCCAGGAACCCCAGGGACCCCAGGGACCCTAGGGACCCCAGGGACCCTCGGGACGGACCGTCAGGGCTTCACTGGGTCAAAGATCAAGGGGGCTGACAGATTGGTGACAAAGATCAAATGACAATAACCTGCACGGGACCTCTTGGCCATGACAATGGAACGCGGCGAGGGCCCGGGCGGAACGTGGAGCTCGAGGCGCAAGCTCAAAAGTTCGGAGTGCCTGAGCGCCAGGAAAAAAAAGGCGATTTTGAGGAAACCACACTGCCTGACTTACAAAAGACCTGACAGTACGACTTGACGGGGTTGGCGCAATCGCTCTCAAGGTCAAGGGTTCACCAGGTTGGAGAGACAATACAAAATGCGGGCCTGGCTCAACGAGTTCACGATTTCCAAAGATACACGGGCCTGACGGCGCGGCTTGACGGGGTTGGGCAACGCACACAAAAAAACAACGCAAACCACTTGGGCCTCACCGGGTCAAAGAGATCAAGGTTGGGCCCAACCCTGAAAGCTCAGTTGAAATCCGCGCATCAACACTGACGGCGCAATCAGCAAAAAGGCCCAGGCAGAACGTCTTCGAAGTCGCGCAAATCCTGGCACGGGACGGGGGGGGGTGTCGGCCTCGCTAGGCCAAAGATCAGGGGGCCTGACAGATTGGCGAGTTGGGACCCAAACCTCAAAGATCAGTTGGCATTGATGGCCATGACAACGGAAGCAGCGAAGGCCCGGGCAGTATGCCCCGATGTCAAGACAAAGCCTGGCACGCGAAAACACGACCTTCAAAATCCAGGACCAAACCTGAAACACTGCTCAAAGGCCGAGTTGACACCAATCCGCACAGGTGCCCAGCCAAAGAGTCCCCAGTAGCACGAATTGGATCCACCTGCAAGCGGCCAACCAAAAGTGACAAAAAGGCAACTCGCGGCGCTGCGAGAAGATCTGCACGTCGAAGTCTGGGCACAGGGCACGTGAGGTCAAGAAAAACTGTGAGTCTGAAACCACGCCTTTGCACCCGCGAGCGGTTCCCGCCCCGTACCCCAGAGTGTCCCCGAATCTCGCCTTCACAAGGCTCACGTGCTTGGGGAAGCTCTTTCCAAACACGACCGACAACGTGAAAATCGTGAGAAAAACGCAACACCGGCAACCTGTCATGCAAAATCACGCCCAAAAACCATGCAAAACTGAATTTACGGAAAAACAAACAAAAACGTGTTTTTTCCGGAAATGGCGGCCCTCGAGCCGCTTGAGCCAGGGCCGTCCCTTTGGTCGGACCATGATGTCCGCCCTATAGGAAAAGGACCGGCAAGCAAAAGTCCCGAACCATCGCCACTAGCTTCGCCCTGGGCGAGGTGCAGACGAGCCCCAAGGGCGCCATCGTCTGGCAGTCCGCGTGGACTCACGTCCTTTGGAGCCCAGCAGCTTCGGCGAGGACCAAGGAACCAGGCAGAACGCCTGCCTTGCGATGGAAACGGATTCCGAGGTCTGGGCGGCCTGGGAGGAATTCGAGAAGCTGTCTTCGCGGTCGAGCCGCATTTGGGGCGACTACGGCGATGTGAAGGACAGGTGGCAGAGCTGCCTCAAGGAGTGGCAGGTCTGGATTATGGGCAAGCAATGCGGCCTGGTGAAGGTCCGCGACCTGCAGGTGAACCCCGGCACGGGCGGGGACTCTTGCCCGTTCTAAAACTGCGTTCGGTTTATCGTGGATGTCAGACGTAAGCGAACGCGCCCGTAACTGACCCCGGCGGCCTCGAGAGAACAGCGAGGCCCCGGGGCACCCAGGGTTAGGGGGCCTAGCGGACTTGGGGGGCCGGTTCGGCAGCAGGCTCAGCTCCTCAGCTCGTGCTGGTTGAGCCTCCAGCAGCAGAGCAATTGCATGTTCACACGGCAGCGCTGATGGCCTCAGCTTCTGGAGCTCACCCAGGTGCTAATCTGCATCTGACGGCCTCGGATGAAGAGCGTGTCAAGGGCGCCGTGCGGCTTGTGGAGCTGCGGCGTGTCAGCAAAGTCGTCGATGACTGGTACAGTTTCTTCGTTTCCAACTTCTTGGACTCTTCCGTGATCTTGCGCTGCTGCTGGATGATGCGCCGCAAGGCGGACTCATCCCACTCGTCCCAGTAAGCCTGCTCACGCTCCGTGTTCACCCCAGGTCCTGCTCGATGTACTTCTTGACGGGATCCAGCCATCATCGATGTTGACGCTTGGGCTGATAACGTAGACAAACACGCCCTTGTACTGCTCCAGGATGAGGCTGATGAGCGCCACGGTCTTGCCCGACTTGCTGGGCGAGGAAGATGCCCGTGCATGGCACCAGGGGCACCACGGGGTCCGAGGCTTGCTTGCTGGTGTACTCAGGCGTGCGGAAAAGCTTGATCTTCCCCATCGTTACGCAAGTTCCGGAAGCCGGCAGCTGAAGTATACGCGCTGGCCTATCTGCGGCTGCCCTAACCCAGCACAGCAATGCAATTCTGTTGCCGGAGGATTGACGGAGACGCAACCCAAGGCTCACATGCAGCAAATGAGGCCAAGAGAATTCCACCCTTCTGCTCTGAGTTACCGTTGCGCTTAGAAAGCACTTATCATGCTTTTCGAGCCACAAAGCTCCGCAACAGAAACGCACTTACAAGGCCAGAAACAGCACTTTAAGTCCGGGCAACTTAAACTTCCGAGACGCACAGAATGCGACTAGGACCCGTTTTGCCTGCATATTGAAGCAAGCTGAAAACCCTTGCAGAAGTGCAAGCAGAAGGGCTGTGGCCGCACCGCGCAAAACCACCAAATTTTCGCAGAATCCACATTTGCTGAATGATAACCTCTGAAGATGCGCTGTGAGCGGTTTTAGATTTCACAAATAACAGAGAGAGGAGGTCTACCTGCGCCCAGCTGGCCAACGCCAAGATCACGCTGAAGAGCGGAGTGGGTACCATTGTGGAGACGGGCTCAGACGACGGGCAGTTCATGGCCCTCAGGAACCCGGTTACCTGAGGCACATGCGCTTCCGCCTGACCGACCTGGACGGCAACGTCGTCCGGCTTCGCGGGTCGTCACCACCACTGGTTGAAGCCGTGCGCACGTAGATATGGTCATCCTTTTCTTTAGGAACCCGCCGTCCGGCGGCGACGGGCGGCTGGACGGCTGCGTGCAGCAGGAGATGTTTTCACACTTCGCGTTGATCAGCGTGGACCCAGGAAGCTGAGCGCCGCTCCCATCGGCCTTGCAGTCCGACACGAAAAACGGACTCTTCGGACTCGACCGTTTTGAGCGCTTTTTGCACCAAAAACGGAGCCGGATGGATATATTCTACCTGAGAGGCTCCCAGCACTCGTCCGTCCAGCATTTGACCTCGTCCTGCGAAGGATTCGAAGTCTAAAACGCTGCGTGGAGGCGTGTGGCTGCAAAATAATGACCCCCAATTTGGCTCCAGGTTGCATTTCAAGCGGGGGTTCCTTTGGCAAAGCTTGACATCGCTTGAAATGCAACCTGGAGCCAAATTGCGGCGCATATCTAGGGGTCATTATTTTGCAGCCACACGCCTCCACGCAGCGTTTTAGACTTTGAATCCTTCGCAGGACGAGGTCAAATGCTGGACGGACGAGTGCTGGGAGCCTCTCAGGTAGAATATAATCCATTTGGGAAACGCCCTCTAAAGAGAGAGATTCCGGGAATGCAGGGATTCCCTGCAGAATCCCATTGAACTCCCCCCACGATTTGATTCAGAGAGCTTCAACACAAGTGTCACTTGTGTTCACATTCCTGCCGCGCCAAGCCGCGGAACCTCCACTCTCCGGGCTCCTTGCTATATGTGCAGTAGTAAGGAAAGAAGGCTTATAGTATCCAATTAATTTTTGGATTTGGGTCCCAAAACCCTGCAAAACAGCCAAATTCTTCAACCCGCTGAACGTTTTTCCGATGCAAAAAGCGCTGAAATCGGCGAACTCCGAAAAGTGTCCTGCGTCTTTTGTGCAGCCAGGGCCTCCAAATTCTCTCGTTTTCCTCCGAAAACCGGCTCCAGGTGTTCGCCATGCTCCGAAATCCGTATTCTGCCTCGAAAAACCTGCAAATTCCAGCCCGCTGAGCTTGTCACCGCCGAAGTCACCGGTCTCTAGCCAGTGTCTGACGCGGCAGCCCGCCGAGGTGCTCCCGAGTAACACGTCAGCCTGCCGAGGTTCTCCCACGTAACGCGTCAGCCTGCTGAACTCGTCACCGCCGAAGTCACCGGTCTCTAACACGTCAGCCCGCCGAGGTGCCGGGGGGGAATCGAACCTCCGAAACGTCGCTACGGAGAGCAACGCCTAAGCCATCTCACCATCGGCTCTCGTTACCTGTCCAAAACGGCGCTTTTTGGCCCATCAACGGGCTCACTGCGATGTCACCGCTTCGTCACCGCTCTCTTTGGGGCCGAAAAGTGCGCGATGGAAAAGCGAGTTTGTGTACTGGTAGCACGGAAGTTGAATTGAGGGATATTTTCCCTCAAAGCATCATCGCATTCCTGCCAGTAGTTCAAAGCCGTTCCTAAAAAGGTCTCGGGCTCGATTCCTCCCGGGTCCGCCCCTGATCACCCTAAGAGCAATGGTGATTCACCAATGGTTCATGAATGGGCAAGGTTGGTTCATGAATGGGCAAGGTTGGCTCAGGTCTCGTCATGTGGCCGAGGTGTCCCAAACGTTTCTTTGACCGAGATTTTCGGTCAATTCGTTGCATCATGCCCAGTGTCCGATTTTATAGGACACTGCGCCTGAGGGAGCGCTGCGAAAGTACAACACCCCACCGTTACAAACACGTATCACCTACTCCTAAGAAAACATGTTTGAAGGACCTGTCACGGCAACATCCCGGAGGTCCTGGACAACGGAGAGGTGACTGACGGCACGCACGTCACAGCAGGACAGCTGGCCCTCGCTCTGACGCCCTATGCTCAAGTACCTGACCTGGCGGTGAACACGGCAGCCGCCGGCAACAACGCCGCTGCCATCCAGTCCCTGGACGACAGAGTCACCGCAGAGCTGGCCTCAAAGCAGGACAGCAGCGCGCTGGCGCCGGCGATTGCGCCCCTAGCAACGGCTGCGGCCCTGGCCACCACGGACGGTCAGGTGGCCGCGCACGGAAGCAGCATCGCAGCGCTGCAGAGCTCGCTGACCACGGGTCTCTCCAACAAGGCAGACCAGTCGGCATTCGACGTGTTGGAGGGCGTGGTGGCCACGAAGAGCACCCCGGACGGTGTGGACCTGAAGCTGTCCAACTACAGCACCACGGCGGCCATGAACGGCTCCATCGCCTCGGCCAACAACGCCACGCTGGCCACGGTGGCCGCCAACTACGGTCTCAAGAAGGTGGTGGACCAGCCACCACCGCGGACGCTGGCCTCCGAGCTCTCGAGCCGAGACGCCTCTCGTCCTCGGAGTGGCAGGCCACCAAGCGCGCAGACCAGCCAGCGCCCGTGACTGCTTACGCCCAGCAGTCGCCTTAGGGCAAAAAACTCACCTCCTCGGAACGTGTGGATTCCTAAGATAGCGGACGGGCCCTACCCTGGAACGCACGTCACCGCAGCAGCCCTGACTCCGCCCACCTCGCAAGGCGACAGCAACTTCCCCACGGTGGGCGACGTGTCCACGGGGACATTGACGGCCTCGGGCGCAGCAACCGCGGTGAGCTTCGCGGCCACCGGGGCGCTCACGGGCGCCACGCTGACCATCACCGGGGCGGCGTCCACGGGCCCGCTGGACTGCGAGAGCCTGGACTGCACCTTCACGGCCACAAGCGGCGGAGTGTCGACGGGCAGCGTGGTGTGCGGCGACGTGACGAGCTCGGGCACGGTCTCCGCGCCGCAGCTCTTCGCGTCCAACACGCTCACCGTGACCAACACCTCCGACTTCTCGGACGATCTCTTCTTGACGAAGAACTGGGCGGGCTGGAGCAAGCTGCAAGTGTCCAACAACAGCGCGGCCCCCGACAGCGGCCCGGAGCTGCGGCTGCTGGCAACCAGAGCGCCAGGGTCTTCCTGGAGCGGGACGGCGGGGCGCACCAGTGCGAGCTCATCATGATCAACGATGAGGCGCTGGTGCAGACGAAGAGCCTCTCGACGCAGCTGTCCTTGACCACGAACCAGAGGAACCCCGGCTGTCGCGGGCAACACGGGCAACGTGGTCTGCAACACGAGCTTCACGAATTTGTCGGACAGCAGGGTGAAGACGGAGATCTAGATGGCCGAGGCCGACGTGGCAGAGCTCCAGCAGCTGTTCGACTCCGTGGAGGCCAAGCAGTACAAGCGCCCGGACATGAACGAGGACCTGAGGCTGGGCTTCGCGTCAAACGACTTTGCAGGAACGAAGTGGAAGAACCTGACGGGCACCGCGAGGTGGAGCGACGGCACGGAGATGGTCACCCTCGACTACTCTCACCTCACCAGCGTGCTCTGGGGGGTGCAA